GTTTCGCCCCTTTCCCATAACGCCCTTTGATATTTTGCCCTTTTCCCAGTTCATCCCTTCCCACTTCACCCCACATTATGCTTGTTCCGATTTGTTTTATTTAATAACTTAGGCTGAAGGACTTACAACCTTTGTGTAATCAGGGCGTCGATCCCCAAGATGATCTAGTTTTGACTCCCAACAATTTCATTTTTGGTCAAACCAGCGGACCACATGCACCTGAATCGGTCGATGAAGTGACATATAACTCACGTTGGAGACACGTGCAGAAAGTAGTACGTCAGTTGTGAAATAAAACTAAAATTTGATATTTGGACTTAAAACGTTTAGTATTTTAATTTGAAGTATTTATAGGTTACTTACTTCGTTGCCTGCCATGTTAAGTGCTGCCTTATTTATTGTATGACAAGGTTATGGCTTGTTATTCAAGCAATCAATTCCTGGTTCATTCAAAATGGACGTTCTCGCATGTTTTTTTGAGAATATGGTATAACTCTGAGTATATATTGCATAGTATCCATTTATTGTTATCGTTTCCATGGTAATTTAGATCCATTTCCCTGGAAAACCGGCACAAATTCATTCTTTATTCTCATTTTCAATTTCAAATCCAGGGACACATCGGTATGCAATAAATATACCTAGGGTAATATATTCCTATTTGAAAAAAAGAAAAAAAAAGAAATTGAAATAAATACCGTTAGGTGAAATTGTTAATGATTATCAGATCTATGTGTTATCATTTTGTTATTGTAGATATTTAGATCAAAATATACAATATGAGTGTAAAGATAGACTAAGAATGGGTAAAATAACTGATGGTGGATGGGATGTTTGTGCAGATGAACCTTACAGACCAACTAAAGATGGTTTCGTTTATTCTTTTGGGTAAGCTTTTTCTTTTTCTAAATAATTGTTGTTGACTGACTTGTAAACACTTGAGCTGCAGTTATTAGCTTCCACTTCCTCCCAATTCTTTTTAGCCACATTCTGCCATTTGTGCAAGAAAAACGCCACCGCCAATTTGAGTAATCAGTGGCAATTTCTTAGAAATGCCACTGCGAGCGTCAGTGCAGTGGGCCTAGCCTAGATCTCTGCCGCTCGACATTGGTCGTACCCACAAATAAGTTTGTTGAGAGCTGAGTGATCGGAAAAGTGTAGGAAGACTACAATGAATTATGATCACGTACAGTTGTCAATGAATGCTGTTGCACTATGTAGGAATAACTAAATTGGAAAATAAAACTACTTGTAAATCGTACTTACTAAATCATGAAGCGGCTTGAAACGACCAGGAGTCGACCAAAGAAAACGTGAAACGACCAGGAAACAACCTCAAGTCCGGCGCACACGTGGTGAGTCAACAGCTCGGCTATTTGTCTCGCATGTGGGTTGGCTCAGTTATATGGTTTCACCGCAGACGGTGCAACTTTTCAGCTGTTGAAAATCAATCAGCACCAGCGTTTCTTAGAATCAATAGGTGATGGTCCTTTTTGAGTTCTAAGAATTTTTAATTGGGAGGGATGGGAGAACTGCTTAATTTGACACTAAAAATCAAGGAAACCCATCTTTAAGTTCATTTAGATAATTGTCTCTATTAAAGACTGTGACAATATTGCTTGTTCATCAAATTGGAATTATTAATTAAACTTTCGTTCATTTTTTTTTATTACCGGTATCTTTTATTTTTTATATAGCCACTTCATTTAGTTACAGCCCTCTTGAACTTTCGTCAAATTCATCTTTTTGAACTAACTCAATGATGCCTGCTTTAACTAATCAAATTTCTACCAGCGCAGGCATTTTGTGACGCAGTGGTTATCAGGTAGGTCAAAGTGTTAATTTGAAGAACGTTCAAGAGGTCCGTCGTTAGACCCTAACTGAAGTGGCCATATTAAAAATAAAAGCTAAGAAAAAAATGTAACGTTTTGAGCGGGAAATACATCAAACTGCATGCCAACATATAGGGGGAAATTCCCTTACCTTTCCATTTTTACTGTAGGCCTACAAGCCGATATTTGATTATGAAAAATGGATCCTGATTGGATGACTAATTGTTAATAACCAATCAGCAGTGATTTCACAAACCTACCTCCGGAAGTGAAGAGTTGTAGGTCCGTAGTTCGAAGCACTCTGTTCGCGCAGATATCACGTCATGTATTTTTTAACTCGGAAATTCTTAAATTTGATGTTAAAAATAGTTTCTCTGTTGCCAGGTCGATACAAATCGACAATTTTACTTTGCAGCATTGACATATGCATTTTGTAATGACGACATTGGTATTTTAAAGATGGACATATTTCTCTATATATAATCGTGTATAGTTATCCCAAATTGGACAAAAAAATGATTGATCTACACAAAAAGCGAAATGCCCCGTGTTCGGCCTGGTTATATTCCTGGTCGTTTTTCTGCACGGTTTCTGATTGCGTTTTCTTTGGCCGTTCCTCTTCGTTTCCTAGTCGTTTCTGGTCGGAATATGCTTTTTAGTAAGTATGCATACCATGGTTAAGAATATGGCTTGCTGAAAAAATTTGATCAGCCACTAGAATCAACTTTTTGAAAAATGAATCAGACCAATGGATCTCAATGAATTTTAGGTTCCACTTCACTGTGAATTGATTTCAAGCATTTTGGTATATATAATATTATAAATTATAATTGTTTACTAAGTTATATTTTTACTTGGTTTGTCGTTTTTATTTCAGAATTAATAATGATTTTAGTTTTGATGATGCTATTTCTAAAAAATATGATATTCCAGTATTTTCCTTTGATCCTAGGTATGTGTTATGAGTTTATTTCTTTAAAAAGTCCATCTGATTTAGTGAAGAAGAATCTTCAGAGGAGAAAATATTTATCGAATTTGTTGTGTAATTAATGACTAACACTATTCAGATTTTTCGCAAGAAAGTTGCACACTCTTCCATGTTTGCTCCCATGTGGTGAACGTTAGTCAAGACAACTTAGATTAATGGACCTAATTCTGACCAATGTAAATTAAAGATTTTATGATATAATTATTGAATTTTGCTCACCAACTGTTTATGGATACTGTTGCATTGAGGGACAAGTTTAATGTTCCATCCATTCTACTAAACTTATACAATTAGTTAGTATAAAAGCAAAAAATCATTTTGTGAAATGGTTCCTCCGACAAATTCCGACACTCCGACAAGACATTTGAGACTTGATATTCGCGAATTGAAAAGCACGTTTTTATCACGCGGGCTGCAATAAAAAGTTGGAATGTTTTTATTACGTATGAAAAAACGAAACAATAAATAAATCATTTTTCAACATCTATCGTATGTCTTTTGACAGAAAATGTTTAGAAAGTATGCGCGCTATAGTATGTTTCGGACTATTCTGACCTCTCAAAGCAGAGAGCAGAATTATTGCCCGAAATGTTCCTCCTGACCTTTAGGCCTAACCACTTATTATTTCAGTCTGTGAAATATCATTTATCTTATACGACATTTGTCAAAAGACATACTATAGATGTTGAAAAATTATTTACTTATTGTTTCGTTTCTTCATACGTAATATCAACATTCCAAATTTTTATTGCAGCCTGCGTTATAAAAACGTGCTTTTCATTTCGCGAATATCAAGTCTCCAATGTCTTGTCGGAGTGCCGGAGTCTGTCGGAGGAACCATGACACCGGAGACAAGAATTGCTTGTAGTCTGACTTAAGAAAATAAACATCCATATTTTGCCTGGATAAAAATTATTCCAATTTATAGTTGGTGTGAATATTGGGGGAATCTAACTTATTGACTCACTAAGGAAGATATATACAATTATAGAGTGAATCCATCAAACTGACTGAGATAATTCATTTCTGATTGCATTGCAAATTGTTTTTCTCTTAAAGCATGAATACAAAAGCTCACAATAGAAGTAACTTAGTTCATTTTATACCTATTGGTATAGCAGGAACTAATAAGGTCATAAACAATGGATGGAAGGTTTTACCATTGAGTGATATTTTAAAGGATCTTGGCCATAAAAAAGTAAGTTGAAAATAGTCAACTGCGCATGGAATGCAAAAGCGAAAAAAATGAACTAGAAAAAATCACTTACACAGAATTAAAATTATATATTGCAAGACATTTAATAATATACCAAGAAGTTGAAATGTTAAGCCAAGAAATCAAGTACCAAGAATTTTTATTATTTATAAAATCATAACATTAAAAGATTACTGGCAAAAGATTAATAATCAAAACAAAAGATAAGGAAAATACCCCAACTCAGTATTGTAATTGAAGTTTAGAAGAGAATTAAAAGGATAAAACCATTAAAACTTGATATTAAACCAAATTCGTGCTGTAATTTTTGGGAAAATCAGGTTAACGCAATACTGCGTCACTTTCCTAGAAGCCTATAGCCTTGATGGTGTCAACCAAAATGAATTATCATCTAAAGATAAAAATCCCAAACTGACTTAATCTTGATAAGATCAGCAGGTGTCTGATTGGTTCCTATATCTCGTTCCTATATATCTCCTGCTAGCAATAGTTTTAACATGTAATTATCCTTAATTGGATCCAAAGATTTTTGCTGTTAGTGTAAATGTGAAATTGTTAGACCATTATGTTGGTATTGTTGCACCGAAGCAAATTTGTAACTTTAACTAAATATGTTATATAAAATTGAAGATTATCAGAACTAATTGGGACGGGAATAATATCATACATACCGCTCACAGTTGTCATGTCAGTCACCACAAGGTTTCCGTTTGAAATTTCAGAATGTATTTGGTCTTCGACGAGCGCACTAAATTGCTTGCACGATAATTGTTCATTTCAACTGGAGTCAGAGTAACATCCAGTGACAACAGTTTTAAAGCCGTATTGTACACCTTCTCAAATAAATCGATAAATCTGGATAATCGACGTGCCCAAGCATCATAATTTAGGCCGGATCTTACGGGATATTACCTCTCACTCATTTATTAGTTTGTTGAATGGTGGACCAAACTATGCTCTAAGAAGCATGTTGAGTACACACGGGCAAGTTTGCAGTTGTTGTACTGCCCAGGATTTGAAAAGTAGGAATCAATTGAATTTCTTGATGCTGAGATTTCGGTATTCTCTATCGAATAATATTACACTTCCTTTGATATATCTGCTGAATATCCTATTGACCCACATGCAGTGGCGGAGCAAAAGGGGGGATGCAGAGGGGTTACCCCCGCCTGTTTATCAGGCAAAAATCTCGTAACTAGGTTCAGGCAACCCAGGTATTTAGCCCCCCACCCCCACCCTCAGAAGACCACATAGTACCTTAGGTTGCCAGAATTTCTAACCTAGTTATGAGATTTTTGCCAGAAAGACATGCCTTCGGAGCTGCCCTCCGCTCCCTTTTGGCTTCGCCACTGTTCATAAGCCTGCCATGACAATGACTGAGGTCAACTGTCGCCAAGCGACAAAGGAAATAAGTTCCGATTCTCAAAATATAATTTACAACAATAAATGAACACTTTATGATTTTGGTATATAATTAATATTCTTGGTATTTGATATAAGTTTTTAGGTATAAGATATAAAATTCTTGACATTGATTTTTTCTTGAGAGATTTTTTCCGTTTTGGCATTCCATAGATGTGTTTGATGAATTTCCCAAACTTATATTCTGATAATGGCTTTTATATTTAAAATATGTATTAGTAGCAAATGTAAACCATTTGATTAATATTAATAATTGATGAATTTCTATTTTCAGGAAGACCTACAAGTGTTAAAAATGGATATAGAAGCATGGGAATGGGATACTATTCCTAATCTAATTCAAACTAATTCAATATCCCATATAAAACAATTGTTTGTTGAATTTCATACTGATAAAAGTTGTTCATTATCTAAACCTAATAAGTGTACTCAATATATCTCAGGTTTAAAAATATTCCATGATTTATATGAATTAGGCTTTCGAATATTTTGGACTCATAAAAATCCAGCATGTTTATTCAAATCAAAATTCACAGGTGAAGAACTCACTTTTTGTCATGAAATTTATTTTGTTAAAGTTTCATAAATATTTCATATCTTCATTAGGCATTTTATACGCCCACATCCGTCGGTCCGTATGCACAATTCTTGACTGATTTTGACGAAACTTGGTTTGATTGTTTGTAATCACCCAAAAATGAACCCTTTTGAAAATCAGAAAAGTCGAAACAATATTTAGTATGAGTTATTGGACTTGCTTTGACGAAACTCTTTGTGAGTGTTTGTTATCAACCAACAATGACCACTATCGAAAATTAGAAGAATCGAAAAAATATATAGTATGAGTTATTGCCCTTGTTCTTGAAAACGCGTTCAATTTTAAACACTCTAGAAGGTTCAATTCTTGACAGATTTTGATGAAACTTGGTTTGATTGTTTTTTTATCACCCAAGAATGAAGCCTATTGAAAATCATAAAAATCGAAAAATATTCAGTATATGTGTTATTGCCCTTATTCTTGAAAACCCGTACAATTCTTGATGGATTTTAACGAAACTTGGTGTGAATGTTTGTTATTACCCAAGGATGACCCCCATTGAAAATAAAAAAATCGAAAAATAATTAGTATGAGTTATTGCCTATGTTCTTGAAAATGCGTTCAAGTTTTAGCACTTAAACACTCTAGAAGGCACAATTTTTGATGGATTTTGACGAAACTTAGTGTGAGTGTTTGTAATCACCCAAGGATGAACGTTATAGAAAATCAGAAAAAATTTAGTATGAGGTATTGCCCTTGTTCTTAAAAACGTGTTCAAGCTTTAGCCTGTAAACACTCTAGAAGGCCCAATTCTTGACAGATTTAGATGAAACTTGTTATTATTATTTAGTATCGCCTCAAAAAGGTCAAAAGATTGAAGGTTTAATATTTCATACTGGTAATTGTTACTGTACTGCCAAATATTTAAAATCAAAGCTGTCAGTAGGCGTATATTACCTTGCCTGGCAAGCTATCTTTTGGTATATAGGTCAGTGCTTCTCTATCTGGGGTGACATTTGGCGGGGGTGAAAAAAATCTGAGGGGTGAATAAAAAAAAAACAACGTTGGATTGTCAGAAAAGGGGTGAATTAATATGAGACGTCAACAAATGTGGCTTCATTCTGAAGTAATTGAGAAATACCTGAGACTCGCTACCTGCACTCAAAAACTATTATTGCCATCCCTTCATCATAAATAGTAGAATGCAGGTTTAGCGCGGTGACAAAGATTGTTCATTAAGCACCGGTAGCATATACTGTATTAAGGAACACGGTATCTCTGGAGACTTGATATTCAATAAATGTGAATAAAATTATTTACTTGATTATTGAAAGAGAGCAGTGGCTTCTAGTAGTGCAGAGGTAGGGTGGACAGGGTGAAAAAGATTGAGAAGCACTGATATATAGGTATTCACTTTATTTGGGTTGGTTTTTGTTTGAGATTTTTAGTTTTTGGGGTTTTTTTGCTCAAATTTATGTTTTAATGATGCTCGGTGGCGTGTTGTTTTTTCTACATGGGATTGTACAAAAGGCTCAGGTGTCTGGTTTGCGCCAAAACGATTTCTGCCATTCTAGCCAATTTGGAGCCACCACGTCACTGATGATGATACTTTTTGGTTAATGTTTGAAAACTAATGTATCAATTATAACACACCGAACGTCAAATTATAGAGAAATGTAATATCTTAAAGAGACAGATGCGCCGTGTTTTTGACCAATGATACCTTAGTCTCAGAAACAAGAATTCTTTAGCTAATCCAATCAGTAATTGTGTTCGCAGATCACCGTGGAAATCTGGGCCATCAAACCCACGTGTGTCCAGAATTACCCGCGTTTGAAAGTTAAAAATACGAGTCGTGTCTTCTTGAGACACTGCCATACATAGGAAAAACAGCTATAGAAATTGGAAAAGAAATTCCTATAGTTCGAGATAATTTTTGAGGATTTATGCGATTTTTGTACGTTTCTATTATTTCTGAAAACTATTTACATATATTCAAGTCTCAAATCAACCCCCAAAATGGCGCAACTGTCCCATTAATGATTGCGCTTTATAAAATGATACCATTTTGTAGCATATGCGCGCCATGCACCGGTAACACTTTATTTGTATTGCACGTACATTTCCGGTTTAATTAGCGAGTTTGTGTTTGATGCCTGCCCAATTCTATAGTATTGAACTCTATTATGTAGTAAATATAACAAGGAGTTTGTCTCTTACTTAAGGTACGGTGCAGTGATCGATACAGACCACACCGCACACCACACACTGTACATCGTCTATTCCCACCTTTATTCTGAAGGTTTCAACTAAAACTTTACTTTGTATACCTCCTACTTGTAAAACTTTTCCTTTTCCTCTACATTTAAACCTTTTCCATGTATGCCTCCCAGTTGTTAAACCCCCTACTAGTCCTACCTGTAAACTTTCTCCTTGTATACCTCCTGCTGGTAAAACCTTTCCTTATAAACCTTCTTTATTTAAACCTTTTCCATGTATGCTTCCCACTTGTTAACATCCTACTTGTGAACCTTCAACTTGCAAACTTCCTACATTTGTAAACCTTCTATTTATGAACCATCTCCTTGTAAACCTTCTATTTATGAACCATCTCCTTGTAAACCGTCTTTTTATGAACCATCTCCTTGTAAACCTTCTATTTAAGAACCATCTCCTTGTAAACCTTCTATTTATGAACCATCTCCTTGTAAACCTTCTTTTTATGAACCATCTCCTTGTAAACCGTCTTTTTATGAACCATCTCCTTGTAAACCTTCTATTTAAGAACCATCTCCTTGTAAACCTTCTATTTATGAACCATCTCCTTGTAAACCTTCTTTTTATGAACCGTCTCTTTGCAAACCTACTACTTGTAAACCTTCTTCTTGTAAATCCTCTAATTGTAAATCTTCTACTTGTAAATCTTCTAATTGTAAACATTGTCCCTGTAAACCCCCTTTCTTCTTGTATGCCTACTACTTGTAAAACTTCTACTTCAAACCTTTCGTCCAATTTATTTGCAGTTACAGAAGTTCGATCCTTTAATTGTGTCTTTTTCCTCAATATTTTGTCTAAATTGATTATAAATATTATAAATAATCTAATTTGCATTTAATTGTACGTCGGAAATAAAAAAAAATCAATATATAAAAGTTTTGCACCTTGTGCTTTTCTTGTTAACATGTCCTGCACGCCGTTTTATACCCCTACATGAATATGTGGTCGTAAATTGTTGTCGCTCATGTCCGTCGGTTCGAGTCTATTCTTGTGGGCACAACAGAGACTACAGTTTTCGTCTGATTTAGATGATTTTTGATGAACGGTTTTTGAGTTATTGCCCTTGACTTGGTAAAATCGCCTGAAAATTTTTTGTGGGCACAATAGAAGCTACAATTTTAATTGATTTTGGTGAAACTTGGTCTGAGCATTTTATTTAATAAGATCTCGGTCAAGTTCGAATTCGACGATTTTTCGATAAACGGTTAAAATTTCGCCAAAATTTGTTAGTGAGCGAAAGAAAAGCTACAATTTTCATCTGATTTTAATGAAATTTGTTTTGATCATATATATTGATGACATCTTGGACAAGTTCGAATTTAAGAATTTTTTGATGAACGGCTTTCTCCATGACTAAGTCGAAACGCGTTAAAATTTTGCTCGTAAGACAATAGTTTTCGTCCGATTTTAAATCAGATATGGTGTGATCATATATATTGATGAGATATTGGACGAATTCGAATTCGAATTTGAAGATTTTTTTTTTTTGATGAACGGTTTTTGAGTTATTGTCTGGCAAGCTATCTTAACTTTAAATTTGGCATTTGCATTTATTTTGAAATCGTTTTGTATTTCTAGAATTTCATTGTTAGTTTGAGATAATAATTTAATTAATGATTGACATTGCATTGTATATATCTAATTTTTGCTCCCTAAAAAAATTGTGACAACCGACCAATTCTATTACTGCAAATAAACACCTTCCATCACTGCCCCTCTGGATATATAACTTGGCCTGTATGGCGCTTTATCTGGTTCAAATAGGATCCAATTCCCATACAATATAATAATATTGTATACATTCTAAAATCAAGTGGTCATTTCTTAGGTAGAAAGTCAATTAGTCAAGATCAGTTAGAATTTATATTTGATATAGATCATCTTCATTATGATATTGAAACACACAATGAAATAAAGACATTCCACAAAGATCTGTACAGTGAGTATCAGTTGGATTATATTGCTTACAAAATGAATGCGCTTAGTCGACACAATAAATTCGGACCAAAGATTTTGGATCATCACCAACAATAATATTAATAAATAAAATCAATCATTCCATAAGTTATTTTAGCCTGTAGAGTTCTACTATATTTTTTATATCTAAGAAATAGTTATAGGATCATCACCAAATTCGATATTTATATCATCTTCATAATCATATTGATACACAATAAAAATAAACAAATATATAAGGAATTGTAGTCTGTAGAAGAAAATACTGTACAGAGTTATCTTTCCATTAGGTAGTTTATTTTTCATTAGAATCACGAATGATAATGATATGCAGAACATGTCACGTGATCTAATTTAATTTCCGTAATATTAAAGGAACGAAAAGACGATGCGAAGATTACGATCAAGCTTACACGATCCGATGGAGGAGTTCCAAAGATTACGATCCAGCTGATACGATCCAGTGTTGACCACTGGATTCCAAAGATTACAATCCGAGTTCTGCGTTCTACAAAGTCTACGGTCTAAATTATGTTCTAGAAAGACTAACATTGAAAAAAGTAAATAAGATATTCGTAACTTCGATTTTATAAGATTAGTCATTTCTACCTAAGAAATGANCACGTGACTTTAAGAATTTTTATAATCTGATTTGAATCCCATTTTGAACCAGGTATAGCGCCATACTTCCCACGTTTTGCCAATATATTCTTTGGATTTTGAGTTTCGTTTTGCGGTTCGGATCGTTATGTTCTCTCCTTGGCTCAAGACCGATTAGAGGGAGAGAGAGAGACATATGAGCGACACAACTGACGCATTCAGACAAGGCCCTCGAGACAACCCATTTACACTGGCTTGGTCATCGGTAAACGTAAAGAAAACGCTAGTGTAAACTTTACTTTACATGTCGCACCTGCAACATACGAACATATTGTGTTCCCTAGGCGCGCTTCTAATATCTATTGGAGTGAAGCCATTCAGAAAAGACTCTTGACGGAAGACAACATAAATCATGACAGAGTCTTAGAAATATCAGTTGCCACAGCTGTCAAAGACACTTTGGAAATGCTAAACTAACCAATCAAACTAACCGCAAACGTGAGTGACAAAAGCATAGACTTTCTCGATACCACAGTCTTTAAGGGAGATTCCATAGCAGAAACAAATAAACTGGATATTAAAGTGTATTTCAAAGAAACTGATACTCATCAACTCTTGCACAAGAGCCCCTTTCACCCAAAACATACCTTTTCTGGTATAATTAAGTCACAAGTTTTACGATTTCATCGAATTTGTACAAGATCTTCTGATTTCAACCAAGCCTGTACGATTGTTTTCTCAAAACTGAAAGAGCGTGGGTACTCTAAACGATTTTTACGAAACATAAAAAATTCCACCTTAGCACAGATAGCAGCTAAAAACAGACTTTATGCCGAAGTACCTCCAGGTTTAAGAAGTGCTCCATGTTTTATCCAGTAGATGCAAAACATGTCCCTTTATATCAGAAACTCATTATTTTGTAAGCAACTCTACGAATAAAAGGTACCGATTCAGGAACATCTAACATGTGAACATTCGAATGTAATATATTTAATTTCATGCAAGAAATGCCCCAAACAATATGTAGGAGAAACTAAGAATAATTTACAAACTCTCTTTAATGCTCATAGGTCAGACATCAAATTAAAGAAAGGCAAGCCTGTTTCTAATCATTTCAACCTCGACGACCATTCAATAGACGATCTCACCCTAATCCCAATTGAGCGTATAGAAATTGACTTGCCCGAAGATGAAACTACCAAATTCCGTCAATCTAGGGAGGCCCATTGGATTGAGACATTGAATACAGCAAGACCTATAGGACTAAATATTCATCATAATGTAGCACCCTTTGTTGTCCCGTTTAATACAACCAGCAATCGAGCAAGCAAGATAGTTCATGCCCACTATAAGAGCCTTCAAGAGAAATTCCCCCATGTCTATAAGCAGAAAATGATAGTTGCATATTCAAAAAATAAGAACTTAAATGATAATATTGTTCATAGTAAACTAAAAACAATCAGTACATAACAGATACTATACTTCTCGCCCATCGGGCGAGTTATTTTTTCTAATTTCAGATCAGAATAAGAACAGAAGAAAACCCAATATCAAGACCCTTAATCCTAATTTCTACATAAAGTGTCTGCTCCACCCTAGGCCTGTACATTTGGGAGAATGAAACCCTCCCTTCCCCGAAATCAAAAACATTTCATCGAAAATGCGTCAAGTTAGAACCTGTCCGAGATCTTATCAATTCCAATGATCACAACAAGTTTCATCAGAATCGGTTGAAAACTGTAGCGTCAGTCCTGCTCACGAACTATTTTTAACAAATTTTGACGCGTTTTTACAAAGTCAAGGGCAACTACTCAAAAACCGTTCATTGAAAATGCGTCAAATTAGAACTTGTCCGAGATCTTATCAATTCCAATGATCACACCAAGTTTCATCAGAATCGGTTGAAAACTGTAGCGTCAATCCTGCTCACAAACTATTTTTAACAAATTTCAACACGTTTTAACAAAGTCAATGGCAATAACTCAAAAACCGTTCATCAGAAATGCGTTAAGTTAGAACTTGTCCGAGATCTTATCAATTCCAATGATTACACCAAGTTTCATCAGAATCGGTTGAAAACTGTAGTTTCAATCCTGTTCACGAACTATTTTTAACAAATTTTGACGTGTTTTTACAAAGTCAAGGGCAATAACTCAAAAACCATTCATCGTAAATGCGCCAAGTTAGAATTGTCCGAGATCTTATCAATTCCAATGATTACACCAAATTTCATCAGAATCAGTTGAAAACTGTAGCTTCAATCCTGCTCACGAACTATTTTTAACAAATTTCGACGTGTTTTAACAAAGTCAAGGGCAATAACTCAAAAACCGTTCATCGAAAATGCGTCAAGTTAGAACTTGTCCGAGATCTTATGAATTCCAAAGATCACACCAAGTTTCATCAGAATCGGATGAAAACTGTAGCTTCAATCCTGCTCACGAACAATTTTTAACAAATTTCAAGGCGTTCTAAGTCAAGGGCAATATCTCAAAACCGTTCATCGAAAATATGTCAAATTCGAACTTGACCTTATCAATCTAAAGCATCACACCAAGTTTTATCAAAATCAGATAAAAACTGTAGTCTCTATAGTGCTCACAAGAAATGTTGACGGACGGACCGACAGACCGACAGACCGACGGACTGACGGACAGGGGCGACTACAATATACGACCACATATTCATGTGGGCGTTTAAAAAGCAGGCAGGTGAAAAATCGAAAATCCTAAAATATGAAAGGCGTATAAGGCCTGGTCACAGAGAAGATGAATGCAGACTTAAAGATGAAACTTGTCTAAAATGAGGTAAAAAAGGTCACATTTGCAAGAGCATGCAGAAATTCGGAACAAGTAAAGCATAAGAAACACAATAGTAAGAATAAATGTATTCATTCATTGGACAATAGTTATGAATCAGAAAGATACAGACATAGAAATTGATTTAGCTGAGTTAATTACTCAAAAATAGATCTACTTAATGCTTATCTACACATAGAAACCTCTACTCACCATTAACACACATAAGGGTCTGTTCCGGTACAACCGACTTATATTTGGTATAGCATCAGTCCCAGCTATTTGGCAAAGGTCAATAGAACAAGTATTGCAAGGAATACCAATGACTGAATGTCTACTTGATGATATGACTAAATCTGGTCGAAAACATCAAGAACGTGGACTGTGTTATGTTTACTAACGTAATTATAACAAGTGGACTCTAACTAAACTTTATTCTAGTCTGCGAACAACAACAAAACTAGAGTTATCTTATCTTGGTCGACAGTCTCTTTTATCCAGACACTCAACAGCACTGGTCTACACAAACCTTATATAATATATATTGCCACATCCCCCCTTCAACAAACTTAAACTTTTGAACTATTACGATTAACGTTTAACAATTCAAAGCACTATGATTTTTTATAAAGACACCTTCCATGAATATTATTTCAGTAATCATAGTACTTTGCAAAGATACACTTTTTAAAAAAAACTAACAAAATACAAACATTGTGTAAAACATAAAATTCTAATAGTAATAGAAAATCATTTTTCCTAGTGGACCTAACGGTTCGACCTGATCGTGTCATGTGACGTCGATTATTGTCTCCATCAGGTTGAGGAATTGGCATTTGATTTGGATTAACAGTATCGGGGTTAACATCAACCTGAGGTTTGCACTTATTGTCTATGACCATTTTCAACTAGTTCATCAAAGAAATCATCATCATAAATTACTTCAGGTTGATATTCATTGGTTAATCTCAAATGTCTCCGATTTCGTCTATACACTACACCATCTTCAGTTTCTATCAAATACGATCTAATATTCACTCTCGACTTCACTTCAGCCTTTCTTCAATAGTTATTTCTTCCAAAAGGTCTAACTCTTACAACCCCCTCTTTAAAGGAATTAAATCTCGTGTTCCTTTATTATAGTAATTAGCTTGTCTATCCTTCCTTTCCTTAAGACGTTTCTGTATATTTCTTTCAGTTTTCGGATTAAGTAGTCTACTTGCAGTTGGTACTAATGTTCTGGTTCGCCTTCCAAACAATCTCTGAACAGGACTATACTACCAATAGTTTCAGATGGAACATTACGAGAATCCAACAGTGATAATAAGGCATCTTCACCCGAACGATGGGCTTTACCAATTATCTTCTTTGCTTGCTTTACGGCATTTTCGGCTTTACTGTTGCCCTGTGGATAATGGGGCGAACTCGTAATATGAATAAAATCGTAGTCTTGAGCAAAGTTCTTAAAACTAGCAGAATTATATTGTGGTCCATTGTCACTAATAATCTTGTCAGGTAAACCATGACGAGCTAAATGACATTTCAATTTACCAATGACTTCACTAGAAGTTTTATTTCTCAACTTATCCACCTCATAATAATCAGAATAATAGTCAACTAAAATCACGTAATCATGACCATCTAATTCAAATAAATCAGTTCCTAGTATTTGCCAAGGTCGCTCTGGAACCTGGTGTGAAATCAAACTTTCTCTCTGCTGGTCACCTTTAGACTCTTTGACATGTTCCACATCTTGATGAGTACTCAGTCAATTCTTTACACATTCTCGGCCAATAAACAGCTTCCCGTGCGTTTCTCAACATAGCCTGGACTCCTAAATGACTAGCGTGTAATGTTTTCGTGATATCTTCGCGACAACTTTCAGGAACTATCAGTCTATCATTCTTAAATATTAAACCATTACTTAGTTATTTCTTCACGAAATACAAAATAGTCTCTTATATTATTTGGAACATTAGTTTTATGCATCGGCTATCCTTTATGCACGACTCGAGATAAAGTTGTCATCACAGGATCATTTTTTGAACTCTTTCAGTGGACATTGGTAAATTAACTACTGGATCAACAGATTCTATTTCCTTTTCAATTTCACTTCTATTATCAACCATCATAATTTGATCAAAGTTGTTCTTCTTGGCTTCCGTTCTAGAAAGGCAGGCTCTACTGAGAGTATCTGCTAAATATAATAGAGATCCCTTCTTGTAAATTACTTCAAAGTCAAATTTCTGTAAACGAAGCATCATTCGCTGCAATCTTTAAGGCGCATTTGTTACTCGTTTTTAAAATTGTCTCTAGTGGTTTATGGTCCGATTCAATTGACACTTTTCGTCCATAAACATAGTTATCAAATTTCTCCATCGCAAATACAATAGCTAGCAACTCTTTTTCAATTTGGGCATAATTGCGCTCAGTGTTAGTTAATGTTCGCGAGACAAAAGCTACAGGTTGTCCTTCTTGCATTAGACAAGCACCAAGCCCAAAATCACTTGCATCGCATTGAATAGTTGTTTCACAGTTCTTATCAAAATACTTCAATACAGGAGCTTGGACAATAATATTCTTTATCTTGTCAAGACATTTGTCGTGAACTTCATCCCATACATATTCACTTTCATCTTTAATCAACTCTCGGAGCGGTTTTGTGGCATCGGATAAACCTGGTGCGAATTTCTGGAGATAATTTACCATTCCCAATATTCTCTGTAATCCTTTCTTGTCATCAGGACGAGGCATTCTTACTATTGCTTCTATTTTAGCAGGGTCTGCTTTCAAATCTTCACTGGACAATACATGGCCCATATAGGATACTTCTTTAAGTCGCAGTTTCAACTTGTCTCTATTCAGCTTAATGTTTATTTCTCTACACCTTTCAAATAGAGCTATTAACTTTCTGTCATGATCTACAATGGCTTCCGCGTCAGTTGCACCATTACCATGTATAATGATATCATCGTGTATAGCATGTACGCCTTCTAAACCTTCTATGGCTTGATGAATTCTTCGTTGAAATTCTTCAGGAGCAGGACTGATTCCAAATGGCATTCGTAACCATCTATATCTTCCCCACATCGTACTAAATGTTGTTAAATAACTGCTCTGGGTATCTAACTCAATATGCCAAAACCCATTACGGACATCAACAACGCTGAATATTCTACTTTTAGATAGCACTGGTAATATATAAAAGAAAAATCTTTTCTGGTAAAGCTTTAACAGTAGATCCACAATCTAACTGGAACCTTACAGGATTGTCTATAAGTTCTAACATGGCAAATATTCTTTTAGGATAATCATCATTTATTGAATATAAATTCTCTGATTCTACCATTAAAATATCATTTCTTCCACAATGATCTTCATAATCATCTATTGTGTGAACCTGATTTCTATTTCTACCAGACTGGTTGCCTCCTTTATATTTTCTCAAACATTTCTTCCGAAAGTGATTGTTTTCTCCACAATTATCACATATCTGACCCCATGCTGTACAAGGTTCTTTCTTTCTGAAATGTCTATAACCACAATATTTACACAAAGATTTAAATTCTTCTCTATTCTGCTTCGGATATCTTCTGTCATCTTCTTTTCTGTTATCAGAGATATGTGTATGTCTATTTATTCTGGATTTGAAATTCTGTTGGGGCCTTTTCTTCACTATTTTTATTTCATCAGCTTCATTTCTAGAAGATTTAACAGGTTTATCTGAATTCATATCTTTCATCTGTTTAGTGGTGGACTCAAAAGATCTACAAATATCTATACATTTCTTCAAAGTCAAGTCAGCTTTCTTTAGTAACTGTTTTCTTGGTGCATTATCTTTAATACCAGTGACTATTCTATCTCTAATCAAGCTTTCTTCCAATACACCATAGTTGCATGATTTAACCAAAGTCTTTAAAACAGACAGGTACGAGTCAATACTTTCATCTGGCAGCTGATCTCTTTTGTTGAATACAAATCTCTCATAGATTTCATTTATGGTACCAATACAATAGCCTTCTAATTTCTGTATCAAAACATCAATATCATATTTGTCCTCATCTTCTGTAAATGGTAGGGGATCTATAATCTTCAATGCTGCAGCTCCAATTACAGTTTTAAACGTGGCAGTTCGAAATCTACTTGGCTGTTTAGCTATTCTAGAGGCTATCTCATAATTGTGCCATACTGCCTTAAAATCCTTCCAATTTGTGGACAGGTCACCCTCTAAATCTAGTTGAGGAGGTATAGGTAAATTTACGGAGACAAAAATCTGTTGTTGTGGTTGGGCTATATTATTGCCTTCATTGGCGTTGGCATTGTTGACACTGTTTCCTGCTTGCTGATTATCATTTCCCGACATTATTATTAGGTTTTCTCAGTCTATTTTCAAAGAAAATTTATAGCAGGACCTTCTTCACAAATTTATGGTACCATGTCAGCCACTTCTGACGCCATGTTACGTTTACTAACGTAATTATAACAAGTGGATTCTAACTAAACTTTATTCTAGGCTGCAAAATCGAACAACAAAACTAGAGTTATCTTATCTTGGTCGACAGTCTCTTTTATCCAGACACTCAACAGCACTGGTCTACATAAACCTTATATAATATATATCGTCACAGACTGCATAAATCTCCTTCAAAAATAGAAGCCATCAACAATGCACCTCAATCAAATTTTGGTACACTATGATCCAGACAAACCAGTTAAGCTAACATGTAACGCATCACCATATAGAATTGGAGCTGTCATGTCACACACCTTTCCTGAAGACCAATAGCTTTCGCTTCAAGATCGTTATCATAGGCTGAGAGAAACTATTCACAGATAGACAAAACAGCTCTTGGTATTGTCTGGGGTGTAAAGAAGTTCCATACTTACCTTTATAGTAGAAGATATACTCACTGATCATCAACCATTGTTGTCAATATTCCATCCATAAAAGAGCGTTCCTGTGATGACTGCAGCTCGATTACAACCAAATGCACTTTTCAGAACAGATCTCTATTGCCAATGTACACAGGCTACCAAATATCCAAATATCCAAATGCCATTCAGGGACGGTCTAACCTTCCAGAATCAATAATTGTGAAATTTGTCCATTTATCTGATCGAAATAACATTCTAACTCAGACTTTTACTGGCAAATATAGATTTGATAAAGGTATATCAATTCGCAGTGACCTTCTTAAAGAATTAATAAAAACAAAGGTCACAACTTGCTAAAACAGCATATGGCATGAGACAAAAATCTATGCAGACCAGAATTCGAGAGACATATAAAAGTGTGCAGCTTGAAACTAGGCAAAATAAAAACACCCGCTGGAAGACATATAGTGAAAATTGATAATATACTTGTGAATTAACCTGTATTTAATTGTATGTTTATTGTTATTAATGCCTTATGCTATTTTCTCTTCTTTCTTTTTGAAGGTATACACTATATCAGTTATTCTATGCTTATTGGTAGTAAAATGACATTTTCCCATTATGAAAGATTAACATGGTAACAAAATTACAATATATATGGATAATATTCTTATCAATATGCTTTTTCACACTTAAATGATTTTGCATAATGAAACTGAAGGCACACAAAAGAGAGAACCTAACCTAATTTTTGTAGTACACTTGAAGAAACCCCATTCAAATGGGCGATTAGAGATATTTATATACATAATGTACAAAACTTTATTTTTATTTTTATGATACTCTTTGTATGAATGTGGGTAAATGTTTTCATTTATAATACATTCTTTTTAATCATTTAAGTTATGCAGCATCTAAAGATACTTTCACTGCAGGGGTTTTAGAGACTTTAAAAAGAGAACTGATCTGCTTGATGTACTACGAGAAAAACAATTCAATATCTACTGTATCCAAGATGGACTCACTCCACTAAAACATTTTATGCAAATGATTGTATAGGAATGTAGTCCAGGCTATTTTTAGAATCTTCTTTCTCTCTCCCTTTTGGGGTTTTTTGACTGCCTATTTTTGGGT